AGGGGCTGTGAGCAGCGGCAGCAGGGAGTGTCGACCATGGGGCAGGCGAGGGGCCATTTTTCCCCATGCTCAGCACTAGCTTCTTCTCTGCTCGCAAGCAGGGGGTCGGGGCTGAGGGCTATCCCCTGCCTGTACTGCAGGGCTGGGGGGCACTGGGTGTGAGTGGGTAGGGAGCCAGCGGGAGCACGGGGCCCGCATCAGTGTCCTGGGGCCAGCGCCGGTGGGGCCCAGAGCAGGTGGCAGGAGTGCGGGGTCCCAGCTGGCAGGGGCTCTATGGAGCCGGACCAGCTTCCCCCTCCCTGCTGGTGCAGCCCAGCCTGGCTCCACAGACCCTTGCCAGCCTATGCCCCGCTTTGGGCCCCACCGGTGCTGGCCCTGGGACATTGGTCCCAAGACATTGGGATGTTCATCCCAAGATGGTGACCAGGTGGGTGGGGCACCTGTCAAGGGGTGGGGCTACCCATGCAGCCCTCAACAGTCTGCCAAATCTGGGTAAGCAGCCCTCCGCCCAAAATAATTGCCCACTCTTGCTATATAGGGTAGTCACTCACAGAAGGCATTCACTTTGTAAAGGTTAATTTGCTAACACAGTACATGCAACTGCAAGACAAAGTGATTGTTTATGCTTAAGAAGCTATTAGAGCTCATTTAAATATTACCAAATCATGGCACTGACATTATACTTTACTGGTATAAGTGATTAGAAACTGGTCTATATCCATAACAGAGCAGAAGTTCTGCATGCACAGACTGGTTTAAAAATGACAGAATCCAGTCTAAGATTTGCACCCCCCACCCCCAAGAATGAATATGTGTTCTGTTCACCACTGATCTAAACTACGCCACTTACAGAAAACTACGCAACTTAGATTGATTATGCCTTGGGCTGCACCTAGCCATAAAGAAGTAAATTGAGAAATTTTTTTCCCTGATGAAATGGAACCAAAAGATTATTACAATATATCCTTTGACAAGTTTTACACTGGTCATTGATAGTAATAAAATAAATCAGGAAGGTAAAACTGATAATATTAAGTACAACTTTCTGTATAGAAACAGGACTTAGACATATCATTACAATGAATATTGATCTGGACTAACCACCCATTCATATTTTTATGTGTACTAAAAAAGTTATACAGTAGATTTTTAATAAACAAATGTTTATACTGACATCCTCCTACAGAACATGAAAATTCTTAGCAAAGCAAATTCATAAATGTGTATTCTTTATTTAAAAAGAAAATGTCAGTCATGACACAAATTAAAACATTGAATGAGCCTTATTAATACCTTACCATATGTTGGAGTGCTCTCTCTCCTCCCAGGACCACTTGTTCTTCCTTTCTCATATTCATAGCAGTATAAGACTGCGTCTTCTTCAACCACATTAAAACGCTTCCGATATTCCTGGTCAAGAAATGAATTAGGAGATTCCGATCCTGTATGAACTGGCTTGCCCACTATGTGTCTGCCAACATCATCACATGGAAGATTTCCCTTTTCATCCCTTTAATAAACAAGAGATTTTGAATGTATTTTAATAGTACATTTTTATGTGGCTATCTTTCAGTAAGTAGGAAACTGAAAATATTTACTATACCAAGAGCTTTGGTGGATGCAATACTGTCTGAACTGTTACATACATTTCTGTCTACTGATCTCAATTGCAGGCTGAATCTATTCTTTCCTAAATTCTGAAAAAGCTTGAGGATTTTCACCCTCTGGAAAAAATGGAAAGCTCACTCATCTTGCTGGTCTTTTGGGAATGGGGATAAATTATGAGGATTATGATGAACCACAAAGGACATTTATAGACGTACTCTGGAAGGCACAGGGGGAGGGGCGGCAGGTGCTTTAACTAGAGTGGCTTTGAGAGCCACTCTAATTAAAGTGCCCAGAGTGTCACATGTATCAGTGTCCCTGTGCTGAAAAATGGCAGCAGGGAAGAGCTTTAGATAAATGCTCTCACCGGCATTTTTCAGTGCAGGGATGCTGATACATATGACGCTGGAGTCTGCTGGGGCACAGTGATTACCATGCTCCAGGACACTCGATTAATTGAGACTGCTCCAGCATGTTGTAATTACAGCACAACAGAGCAGCCTCTCTGCATGTGTATAGGTGCCCTAAAAGGTGAGCTGGTATTTGAATAGGCAGACCAGTTCAAATAGTAATATGCGACTATCACCTTTTAAGTAATTGTTCCACAGAAGGTACTAGACCTGCAGCCTCTCCCTCATGCCACATGTGTGATGACAACCATGGTGTTTTCTGTTTGGGAATATCGTCAGACCTCAATGTGGCATGGCTGCAGGGATATGTAAAATACATCAATGTAGTAATTCTCTTACTCTGTTCCAGTAACAAAAGAATGCCTGTTTTTGTTATACTCAGTCAGGAATGGAAACAGTAACCTAGGAAGAGTTGCACAGTTATTTGATGACACACAAACAAAAAATAAAAGCCTTTGTAAATAGAGTCAACTATAGACAAAAGACTACTGAAATGCCAGAATATATCCTTCAATCAAATCATATTATAGACTATATTATTGGATGGGTTTGTAAAGTGAACTACAGTCCAGTAGGATTAAGCTAACGAAAAAAGATTACAGAAATGCACAGTTTAATCATTCCATAGAATCACAGAATCATAGGGAAGTTAGGGTTGAAGGGTCATCAGGAGGTTATCTACTCTGCCCCCCACCCCGCTCAAAGCAAGACCATCAGGGCTTTGTCAAGATGGGCCTTAAAAACTTCCAAGGATGGAGATTCCACCACCTCTCTAGGTAACTTGGTTCCAGCGCTTCACCACCCTCCTACTGAGAAAGTTTTTTCTAGTATCCAACCTACACTTCCATTGCTGCAGCTTGAGACCATTGCTCCTTGTTTGTCATGTCACTCCTGAGAACAGTCTATCTCCATTCTCCTTGGAGCCACCCTTCAGATACTTAAAGACTGCTATCAAATCCCACCTCAGTTTTCACTTCTCCAAACTAAATAAACTCACTTCCCTCAGCCTCTCCTCATAAGTCATGTGTCCCAGCCCCTGAACCATTTTCGTTGCCCCCTGCTGGAGTCTCTCCAACTTGTCCACATCCTTTCTATAGTGGGGGGCCCAAAACTGGATACAGTACTCAAGATGTTGCCTCACCAGTACAGAATATAGGGAAATAATTACCTCTCTCGACCTGCTGGCAATGCTCCTACAAATGCAGCCCGGTATGCTGTTAGCCTTCTTGGCAACAAGGGCACACTACTAGCTCCCATCCTTCATATTGTCCACTATCATCCCCAGGTCCTTTTCTGCAGAGCTGCTGCTTAGCCAGTCAGTCCCCAGGCTGTAGTGGTGCACGGGATACTTTCATCCTAAGTGCAAGACTTTGCAGTTGTCTTTGATGAACCTCATGAGATTTCTTTTGGCCCAATCCTCCAATTTGTTTAGGTCACACTGAATCCTAGCCCTACCCCCCAGTTTATCTACTACCCCCCCCCCCCCAGCTTTTTGTTACCCTTCACATCCCATTGCTAGTTGCAACTTCAATTGCACTTTCGCCTTCCTGACTTCATCCCTGCATGCCCAAGCAATATTCTTATACTCCTCTCAAGTTGTTTGTCCAAGTTTCCACTTCTTGAAAACTTCCTTTTTGTGTTTCAGCTCACTGAAGAGTTCTCTGCTAAGCTAAACTGGTTGCTTGCCACATTTGCTGTTTTTCCTGTACATCAGGATGGTTTGTTCCGATGCCCTCTGTAAGTTTTCTTTAAAGTACAATCAGCTTTTGTGAACTCCTTTCCCCCTCAGCCTGGTTTCCCAGGGGATTCTGTCCATCAGTTCCCTGAGGGAGTCAAAGTTTGCTTTTCAGAAATCTAGGATCCATAATCTGCTGCTCTCCTTTCATGCTTTTGTCAAGATCCTGCCCAACTTGCCATCCACCTCTACTTCCCTCATGAATTCTTCCATGTTTGTGAGTAGTAGATCAAGAAGAACATGGCCCCTAATTGTTCTCTCCAACATTTACACCCAGAAGTTGTCTCCAATGCCCTTCAAAAACTTCCTGTATTTCCTGTGCACTGGTGTATTGCCTTTCCAGCAGATGTCAGGGTGAATGAAATCCCGCATGAGAACCAGGACTTATGAGCAGGAAACTTCTGTTAGTTGCCTGAAGAAAGCCTCATGTACCTCATCCTCTTAGTCTGGTACCCTACAGCACACATCCACCACAACATCACTCTTCTTGCTCTTCCCTCTAATCTTAACGCAGATACTTTCCAGTATCATAGTGGAGCTCAGAGCAATCATACAGATCTTTTACATATATTGCAACTGCTCCTCCTCTTCTCCCCTGCTTGTCATTCCTGAACAGTTTGTTTCTATCCATAACAGTGGTCTGGTCATGTGAGCTATCCCACCAAATCTTTATTATCCCAATCATGTCATAGTTCTTTGACTGTGCAAGGACTACCAATTCTTCCTGCTTGTTTCCCAGGCTCCATGCGTTTGTGTACAGGCACCTAAGGTAACTAGCTAATTGCCCTACTTTGTCAGTAAGAATGAGGCCTCCTCTGTTGCCCACTCCTGTATCTGCTTCCTCCAGGTCCCCTGCTTCCCCACTTATCTTAGTTCCCCACTTATCTTAGTTGGCTTTGTTCTCCATCCCCCAGCAAACCTAGTTTAAAGCCCTCATCACTAGGTTAGCCAGCCTGTCTATGAAAATGCTTTTCTCTCACTTCATCCCTTCCTAGCAAGCTTTCTTTTTGGAACAACAGCCCATGATTGAAGAAGCCAAATCCTGGATGGCAACACCACTTGGACAGTCATGCATTGATCTGAAGGATGTGTCTGCTCCTATCAGGGCCCCTCCCCTTGATTGGAAGAATTGAGAAGATGACTTGAGCCCCATCCCCTTCACCCTTGTGCCCAGAGCCTTGTAGTCACTCTTGATTTGCTCAGAGTCATCCCTGGAAGTATCATTGGTGCCCACATGGATGAGCAGTATGGGTAGTGGTCAGAGGGCTGGACAAATCTTGATAATCCTTCTGTGACATTGGATCCAGGCTCCAGATAAGCAACAGGCCTCCTGGGACAACAGGTCAGGCTGGCAGATGGATCCCTCTGTCGCTTGCAGAAGCGGGGTTGCAGCCACCATAACCCATTGCTACCTCTTTGTGGCAGTGGTCTTGATCCTCCCCACTTTGGGGATTCTTGGCCTGGCCTCTTCCACCAATGGAATACACTCCTCCGCCTGCATTGCTAGTGCTCCATATCTGTTCTCTAGGCAAACCACTGCATGTGGGGATGGCTACTTCTTGCTGCCATAAGAAACAAGCCTCCAGCTTCTGCCTTCCTGGGAGTCCATGCCCTCTTCCTCTACTAACATCACCTCTGGCAGTTCTTCCTCCGCAGCCCTAGAAGTTTCCCTCGGCCTGGAATCGATGAAGTTCTCATGGCGGAGGATGCTTTGGAGCCTTGCTACCTCCCCTTGTACCTGTCTTGCCTTCTCCCTGAGGGACACCACCAAAAGGCACTGCTCACATTGCAGGAACTCCTCCACCTGGCTGACACTGGAAGGAATCTGCAAGATCTGCACAGAACCGATCCAGGACCTGGGTGGAAGCCTCAACAGTGTGTGGTCCTGCCTGGACAGACACCTCACAGGTGGAAGCAGAGGAAGAGCTGGAAGTGGCAGTGGCTCTGGGATTGCAACGTCCTCCAGCCATGTCTCTGGGTCTTCTAATCTGCTGCTTCTCACTTTGTCCCTCTTTCCAAGCAGACCATCCCTAGCAAACTCCTCTGCAGCTGGCCTCTTTGCTGTTCCTTGATCTGAAGGGTTCCCTTTCCCTACAGCCTCTTTCCTCTTAGCAAGCTTACAGTAAGGGATTGTGTGAGTTTCCAAGTAAACTTCCCCTCGCTCTGGACTCCAGTTAAAACAAGGAATTTAAGTCTTGGTAGAGCTGCTGAGTTTTAGCTGCTAAAATAAAACTATGTAGTTAGTCAGTCTTAATTAACTATATAAAACAAAGAAAGAAAACTAGTTTTTGTGTGCGCTAAGCTGAAAAGTAATCGATTAGTGTTGCTATATACACTACCACATTACCATTGATAATTTTTCCTAAGTCTAAAACAAATAATTACAAATGGATTTTTAAATGTCCCAGATTTTGTGACAGATGAGTTGTAAACTGTGAATGAGAGCTACACATTAGAACACACCCTGTAAATTACATCATTTACTTATTTAATAAATTTTCTATGGAAGTAAACAGTGGCAGGCTTGTGATCAGCAATATATACATAGTATTTTTCTGAGGCTATCTTAGCTTTAGTTTCAAAAGTGTAAGGTCTGTGCAATATAAACACTCAAATTTTCATCCAGTGACAAACCTGAAGAACTCTAATTGTTTCATTTGTATTCCCTTTAGCTTAAAGTGTTTAGAATTAACATCTTTAAGGTCCCAAGAAGTTTTTTCTAAAGCTACACTAATCTTTCAGTTGCACCAGTATAGTGTTAATAGGGTTACAGTGGTATCTATTAAATGGATTAAAGATACATCTATTCCATGTGAGCATTTCAAATATAATGACTGGCATCCTTTTTCTTTGCTGAGAGGAAAAAATCCCAAAGCTTAACGAGATAAACTATGGGAGCTGACAGAAGTGCAGGCCCCTGCTCTAACTCATGGTACTTTTCATAAAGCACCATGGATTAGAGCCCCCCCAACACTTGTTTGCCTGTTGGGTTGGAGGGTGGAGAAGAGGAATTGATCCTGCCTGCAATGAAGAGCTGCATCTCTCTCCCAGCTCTGCCCCTTCTCCTAGCTCCGGGGATATCTGTAGGAAGGGAGGGGGGAAGAAGAGCAAGCTGCCAGCTGGGGTTTGCCTGGCCTGATCTGGAGGGGAGAGGACTGGGGGTGCAGGGAGCATGAGGCAGGGGGTCTCCAATCCACCCACCTCATCCTCCAGTTCATACCAGGCAAACCCCAACCAGCAGCTCACTCTCTCTCCCCCCTCCCCACCTACAGATAGCTTAGGGAACCCACAAATTAATCCTAGGGAACAGAAGTTCCCTAAGGTGCTCAAAGTGGAGCACCTTCATCTGTTCCCCCACTTGATAAGGGTCAATTTGTTGTGCAATTAGCCACTTTAAAAGCACTCTGCAGCTGTGTACGTGTGTCACGCATGGCATGGCTGCAGAGCACTTTCAGAGGGCTGAACACGACAAATTTAAATTCTGTCTGCGCCCTACCTGTATTGCTTGTTCATCATTTTCTGAAGACACCAATTAGAATAACTGTTTAGGCAAAATCAACAGGACTAATTATATTACCTGTTAAAGTGACAACAGAAATGTTTGGGTTTTTTTGGTTTTTGTTTGTTTGTTTGTTTTGCTAAAAGTAAATATAGTCCAGAACAGACAGTGCAAGTATAAGAAATATCTGCAAGATTTTAGTTCATGGCTTCACAAAAGGAGCGGAACATCATCAGAACCACGAAGTGGAAACTGAACATTCTGCCCTCAGGAGTATTCTATATCTCTGGAAATTAAGGATTTTTTATACATACACAATTTCCCTTTGCCCCTGCCAATTTAATTTTCTATCCAACACATCCTTGGCTACCACACAGGAAAGGCTTATCAGCATCAGGCAATACATCTTGTTAATTAGCTAAATGAGTCATTACTGAGTGACTCTATTCCACTATTGAGTGACTCTAGTCCAGGTCATGGGCATACTGATCTTACAACAAGTTCAACAAAGGTAACAAAATGCAGCCAAAAAACCCCCCAAAATCATGATTTGGACATATAAAGTTGCACGCATAGTAAACACAGAACACTTTAAAATGAACTGTTCCTTTGTATCATGGTCTCTCACTAATCCCACTAGTCTAATGCTTAGTTTACAATTCATACTTTATGGATGCATTTGTAGACTATAATATTAATACATGATTTTAGGAAAGAAACAATTGGTATACTAGGCTACTGTAATTAGTTAACTGAACGGTAATAGGTTATCTGGGAGTTGGGTGAGGACTCTGCTAAGAATGAATAGACTGCTGAGTAGAGGTTGGTAGTTTAGCCTGAAAGGAGAGTGATAAATATGGCCATTCCACTCACAACTCAGAGTGGCACATATATTTCTGGAACAACCGAGTCACTACAGAATATAGTAAGGTAAATAATGTAGGTTCTTGGTTCAGACGGCAGACATTATTGATACGATTTGTATCAATTTGTATAATTTTTTAAGACAAATCATTATTTCAAATTAGTACTGGACAATCAAGATAAGCATGTTATTATCCCACATTGGCCTATGGCAGGATTTTTCTCAACCAAAATGTAGTACTGTCCACTTTTGAAGGTGGGATACTGCATCAGATGGATCATGGCTCTGTTAAAAACTAGACCAACTCCAAGGGAAATTATCAGGGGCTTGAACCTGCAGTTCCAATGCCTGAATATTACACTAGCATGGTTCTTTTTTTTTCTCTTAATAATCAACTTAATGCATTTAAATGCTCAGTTGGTCATTTTCTGAGGGCTATTTTTTGGCCATGAGCAAGATCATCACTAAGTGTTTACCTGGGAATGTAAGGCTCTACTGGAGGAGGAGGTATGTAGAGTTCTTGGAGAGCAGAGCTATCTCTTTTGGTGGGTGTACTGATTGTGCTGGAGGGTGTAGCAACACTGCTTGTCGGGCTTCGAGGAATAAGCGGCTGGATAAAGAAAGGAAAAAAATAATCACACAATTATTGCCTTATTTTCAAATTTAAATTAAACATTAAAAAAGAACTTTGCAGATCAGAAAAGAAAAAAAGTAATAGTTCTGATGTTCATGCCTTTTTAAAACAATCTGAAAAACAATTCACACTAAAAGAAAGGGATAGCCAAAGTCTATGAAGGCCATGTGATATGCTTATCTAACCTACTCCTCAATTCATATCTGTCCTTTCTCTCTCCTGCACAGCACTAGTGCCAGTGCTCATAAAATACTTATCTAAAATACTTGCCTGTAGTGACACTGCTCAAATATGTATGAGAGTAAATAGCAATGCAGTACCTAAGAGATTTGCTTTATAAAATGAACTCATTAAAGGAAACCTCTTGTGCTACAATAAAGGTTGCAGAAGCACAAAATAAACAGTGTATTTACATTTAAATATTTGTGATATTATTTAAGAAATAGGTGTGGATGATCCAGTTTTTTTATGGCTGTCCATTAGCATCAGTCTAGCCTCAAAATTGGTTTTCTCTGTCTCTTACATATACAATTGTCTGCTTTGAACTAAGCATCCAAACCTTCCCTCTTACACCTCTTTCCCTTATTATTCTTGGCTAGCTGACTGACCAATTGCTTAAATGCTCCATGTCATCACAGCCTGAAGGTTAGGTATGGTAGCAAACACTACAAGCAAACATTACACAACTAGAAAAATGCAACAGGAAGGAAGGGAATTAGACACTCCAGTTTGCTTGTACAATGTGCCCTATTCCTAGCATTGATCCTAAACAAACTTGAAAGGGAAGAGAAGGGATAAAACCCCACAAATATCATTATCTTCATACATGCTCAAATATATTTAATAGTTAAACTATTTTGTTTTGTTGTTTTCAAAGAGCTCTCTTCCCTCCATCTTGTTGGAAATAAAGGCCTTGAGAAAACAATTTTAAGGCTTGGAAGAATATAGTGTTCACCACAGCTATGAATCTGACCCACATGAGTGCCGTAGGTCACAAGTATTTCAAGTTGTATTTACAACAGAAAAAACCACGAGCTCAGGTAAAAAAAAGAACAGTATGCATAGAAGCCTCTACTGCAAGCACAGTGAAGAATAATTTATGACAGGGCAATGGGACACTCCTGTAAAAAATAATGAGTTCTTGTTCTCCAAATATTAATTATGACACTTTTGCAGTATACCTAGACTACAGTAAAATGAGAATTTTAATAGTGGAGTTTCGTCACATTTTTGGCATTTTTATAAGACAGCAATGAGTTGCTGTCATCTTGCCAAACCAATTAGACTTCTCAATATTTTATAACAACAATTGGACACACAACAAATTTTGTCTGCATACTACTTTTGTCATATTCTGTATTACTTCCTCTTTTGAACCTTTACCTATTGTTAGTGCCACCCAGAAAAACTGAAATATATTCTAATTATGATTGAAAATATTAGTATTGCATAAGTATACTCAAATCATCCCGTTACTTGTGGTCAGTACTATTTAAGGGAAACTATATTCTTGCATTTGCATTAGTACAGCGTTAATTTTGCAATACTTTAGAACAATAACTCTGTAGTTCTGTAAGCCCTGTCTTTTGGTTAGAAAACTATGGTCTTTAAGCAATGACACTTCAGGATGTTTGCTAAATTCTTTGTTAACTGGTTATTTTAAAATTAAATACAAGTTCCCTATACTCTGAGTCTACAAAATATCTACCTCTGTTTGAAGGACAGCAGAGGGGAAACAAAGACAAACACAGAGAAAAGCAAACAGATAAAACATCATATAACATTAAAAAAAAATTAAAACAAGCACCAGACTGAAGTCAGTAGCAGGGCTTTTTAAAAAGTGACTGCCTTGGAGAAAGAAATCTCACCATTTAAAGCTTCAACCATGACACTATATCTCAATCCAATCTCTCATTTAGCTATCCAACACAATATATATTTGTTTTCTTCCTAATGGAAATATAATATTGTTAATATTTTTTCAGGCTAGCTCAATATATGGGAGAATTCATTCCCTCTCAACTACTAATATTTTGAAGCCAGAAGCCTTTTGGGGATGGCTAGTGTTGAATAAAGCAAGCAAAGTAACCCTATGAGGTGGCAAGGATGAGGGGAGAGCAACAAGGGTGATGCGGTGGGTGTCTGCTATAGACCACCAGACCAGGAGGATGAAGTAGATGAAGCTTTCTTCAACTAGCAGAAGTTTCCAGATCACAGGCCCTGATTCTCATGGGGAACTTCAATCACTCTGACATGCTAGGGGAACTATATATAGAAGTGTGTAGGCAAACCAGGACATTTTTGGAGAGTGCTGGAGACAATTTCCTGGTGCAAGTGTTGAAATGACCAACAACTCACAAACAGGGAAGAATTGGTGGGGGATGTAGAAGTGGATGGCAAGTTGGGCAGCAGTGACCATGAGATCATGATTGTGACAAAAGGAAGGAAGGAGAACAGTGGAGTATGGACCCTGGACTTCAGGAAAGCACATTTTGACTCTCTCAGTGAACTGATGGGTAGGATCCCCTGGGAGGCCAGGCTGAGGGGAAAAGGAGTCTAGAAAAGCTGGTTGTATTTTAAAGAAACCTTAGGGAGGGTGCAGGAACAAACCATCCCGATATGCAATAAGAATAGCAAATGTGGCAAGCAACCACCTTGGCTTAGCAGAGAACTCTTCAATTAGCTGAAACAAAATGGAAGCTTACAAGAAGTGGAAACTTGGACAAACAACTTGGGAGGACTACAAGACTATTGCTCAGGCATGCAGGGATGAAGTCAGGAGGGCCAAAGTGCAACTGGAGTTACACCTAGCAAGGGATGTGAAGTGTAACAAGAAGGATTGCTACAAGTATGATAGTAACAGGAGGAAGGTCAGGGAATGTGTGGGTCCCTTACAGAATGGGTGAGGCAACCTAATGAAAGATGATGAGGAAAAGGCTGAATTACTCAAAGCCTTATTTACCTCAGTCTTCACAGGCAAGGTCAGGCTACTGCACCTGGCAGCACAACTTGGGGAGGAGATGAGCAGCCAACAGTGGTGAAAGGGCAGGTTAGAAAAGCTGGACATGTATAAGTCCATGGGGCCGGATGCAATCCATCCAAGGGTGTTGAAGAAGTTGGCTAATATAACTGCTGAGCCGCTAGCCATTATCTTTTGATAAAGCTTTTGATACTGTGTCCCACAGCATTCGTACAAGCAAGCTGAGGAAGTATGGGTTGGATGAATGGGCTGTAAGGTGGACAGAAAGCTGACTGAATTGTTGGGCTCAACAGGTAGTAAGCAATGGTTCAATGTCTAGCTGGCAGCTGGCATCAAGTGAAGTGCCCCAGAGGTCAGTCCTGGGGCCAGGTTTGTTCAAAATCTTCATTAATGATCTGGAAAATGGGATGGACTGCACCCTCAGCAGGTATGTGGATGACACCAAGCTGGGGGGCATAGTAGATAAACTGGGGGGTAGGGCTAGGATTCAGAGTGACCTAGACAAATTGGAGGATTGGGCCAAAAGAAATCTCATGAGGTTCATGAAGGACAATTGCAAAGTCTTGCACTTAGGATGGAAGTATCCCATGCACCACTACAGCCTGGGGACTGACTGGCTAAGCAGCAGCTCTGCAGAAAAGGACCTGGGGATGATAGTGGACAATATGAAGGATGGGAGCTAGTAGTGTGCCCTTGTTGCCAAGAAGGCTAACAGCATACCGGGCTGCATTAGTAGGAGTGTTGCCAGGTCAAGGGAAGTAATTATTCCCCTGTATTCTACTCTGGTGAGGCTACATCTTGAGTACTGTATACAGTTTTGGGCCCACCACTATAGAAAGGATGTGGACAAGTTGGAGAGAGTCCAGTGGAGGGCAACAAAAATGGTTCAGGGGCTGGGGCACATGACTTATGAGGAGAGGCTGAGAAAACTGAGTTTATTTAGTTGGAGAAGAGAAAACTGAGGCAGGATTTGATAGCAGTCTTTAAGTACCTGAAGTGTTGTTTCAAAGAGGATGCAGCTTGACTGTTCTCTGGGGTGACAGATGACAGAACAAGGAGCAACCATTTCAAGTTGCAGCACAGGAAGTTTAGTTTGGATATTAGGAAATGTTTTCTCACTAGAAGGGTGGTGAAGCACTGGAACAAGTTACCTAGGGAGGTTGTGGAATCTGCATCCTTGGATGTTTTTAAGGCCTGCTTCACAAAGCCCTGGCTGGGATGATCTAGTTGGGGATCGAGCTGGAGTCCTGCTTTGAGTAGGGAGTTGGACTAGATTACTTTCTGAGGTCCCTTTCAACCCCTTTTTTCCTATGATTCTATGATTCTCTGGGCCTCATATAGCTAGCGTCTGTAAGACAGAATTCCAAATTTCACGCACATGCACACACAAAAAGCCCCATAGGAATTGGGCCCATCGTGATCGCCTCATTGTAGGTGGCACCAGTCCAATGTTTAGTTAAGAAAATCCAGGTTTGTTTGTCAGTTCATTATTCAGAATAGTTCTACTAATGTGTTCTAGGAAATCAATGAAGTTCATGAGTCTCTAGGGATACCGTTTCAGTCTACAGTGTTTAAAGTGAGATGGTACAAACCATAGACTCATCTTGGAAGTGGCTGTTTAGCCTACGTTACACATGTGTTTAGGAGGCTGGAAGATCAATCTGAAAATAAATCTGGAGAAGCTCTTGGTTTCCATGCTGAATAGGTAGAATTAGATTGTATAAGAGTGTTTTTGTGTAAATGGCAAAAGTTTCCAAGAAGTTGAGTAGGTTTCTTGCTCTACAGAAGCTTAATTGTGCAAAAAAAAGAAAAATTAGATGATAGATTTTTGGGATACTGCTCAGTTTACCTGACTTTTGTCTCCACATTTTAGACAAAGTCCTGAGGAGTGCTATCACCATCAACTACTTCCCTCCCCTCATGGACTCAAAAAGGATAATCAATTGTAGTCCAGAAGGATAAGGAAGGAGCATAACAAATAAATGATTCTCAGAAA